TTTTTAATAGTGACTGGGACTACGATTACCAAATATTATCTTCTATATATCACATGTATTTTTATGGGCTCTGCACGAGCTGTTGTGGAACGCCGGTCGAAGAGACGATGAAAATAGCTAAATTCAAGAAAACAACACAAACTCAACCTACAAGTAATCCTGAACAACCAAATTTATAATAATAATAATAATCTTTATTACATAATCGTATCCTTATTTGAATATTGACTCAGAAAAAGAAAAAGAAAATTACAATATAGACGAAAAACTGAGTAAGTAACAAAAATGAAAGCACTAAAATTGGAAAGAATAATAATAATAAAAAAAGAAATAGTTTATTTATTTAGGGGCAGCTGATTTTTTGAAATAATTTTCTCTGGCACTGAAAAATTATAGAAGTAGCTTGCTAGTTTTGTTGTTTTTTGGCTGTTATTGCTTGTTATCAATTTATTAGTATTTGTTTTGTTGCAATGTATTAAATTTATATCATTTGAGTTCTCTCATTTTCATACAGCTTTCTCTATTTTTAAATTATGGGCACTAATTCCCAATTTTGTTAATGCTGCTCTATGTTTTGCATTTGTTACTGTTAGATAATTTTCATACTGGCAATTTTTCTTTAGCAGTCTATATGTACGCAGCTTATTCGTTTTTTTTTATTATCATCATGCATTTGTTCTTGACTCTTGTTTTCAAATACTTTTTTAAGTTTAATGCAAATTGTGTTGATTAGATTGGTGTTATAATTTGGATCATCATTTCCCCATGACTTATCCATTCCATTAGTGCAAAATATTTTTGATACCAGATACAAAATTAAGTATGCCTTTATTTCCATCTCTGTGCTAAGTCTGTATACTTCATAGATTAGCGTGTTTACATTCTTTGTTTTTATTTTTAGTCAGTATTTTATCATTTGTCTTATACTAGTCAGTATATATGTTGCTCACGCAGGGGTAATCTTGTTACATTGTTCAGTGGAGTCTCAACAACCATCTCAAAGTACCGTTTTCGGCCTTTGGTTTCACCGTGATGGTTGCCAGGCGGTGAAAATCCCCGGATGTCCGCCCGGGAATAGCCGAACATCACTGAGTAGATCCGTGGATTCGATTGAATTTGAGTTTTCAGAACCTTAAAAGACGGTAGTCGTCGTGCTGCATGTGCGATATTTGTGTTGATAAACATTGATTTTCCCACAATTCAGTGCGCTCTTCTAATACAAATCTCAAGTACTAGTATGATGTTTGGTCTGGGCGTGATTTGCACTAATAATTACCACCGGTGACTCCTTCGTTACCTTCAATCACCTGACAATATACCCAGTTAGAGCGTGGTAACGTCTCAGTTTGTACTCGTTGATCTGCGCAACAGTCAAAGTCGCCATGTTTGTTTATATGAGACCCATATATCTCGCGCATGCGTGGTGCGACGACTACCGCCCTTTAAGGTTTCCACAAGTCACCAATCCTTCTTTATTTCAGGCATCAGATCACCACATGTTCGCTCACCTTTAATAGAAGTTGGAAACTCGAAACGCAATCGCATCCACGGAACTGATAGAGGATGTTATAACGAGCCAAATAACTCAATTGTTATGTTTATGTTTTCAAGTTGAGTTTAAGACGCAATTCGAGTACGTAGTAATTCATAATCGGTGTAATATTTTTTTTCGACACTGGTATCAGGTATTTTAAGTTTAAATAAAAAATAAAAAAAGGTTTAGTTCTAGCTCTCTCATTGAAGAAGCGGGAAACAGCTGATTATAACAGAGATTGTCGAGATGGGTCAAAGGTCACACAGTTTTACACCAACGCTTTTCATTTGTCAAATAATTGTGATACTGTTTCTGACAATTTTATCTATCAATATATTCTCGATCCCGGGCCTTCCGGGTATTGTACAACGAGCAACTCAACAAAATATAAGTTGTGATAATCTCCCGGCCCCCGAAATCACAGACCACAACTTTTCTATGCAATGTAAACAAATATCACCAAAACATTTTTGTCCTAAAATTGTAAATGCACAACCTCCCTATAGAATAGAGTAAATTACCCATTCGTGTTTCACTGGTAGAATTCACCGCACTTTTCGCGTGTGAAAGCCCCCCCCCCCTCCCCCAAGACGATGAAAATCCGCGGTCAATCCGCGGACGGGAGTACAAGACAAAGGTTCGTTTGAGTCTGTGTCTGTGTCTGAGTCTGTAACACTTCGAATGATAATACATTTTGAGAACAAATATGCTTTAATTGGTGTAATATCTTGAAATGTGAAGAATTATAAAAAAAAGAAGATAAAAACGAAAAAGATGAAATATTTTTATCAGATTTTCTCAGCAGCCTCCATCATGGACGTGAAACGTGAATCTGGGTCTTGCAGAAGTGAAGAAGGTGTGTCAAACTCAACAACCTGCAATAAGTATACATACGAAAAACAAGTTAAGTATAAATAGTGTCTGTCGTGTTGCCCATAAAGTGTAAGTAGAGCGCATGTTTTAATTACAAGATGTGTACAATGCACATGCCTAAACAGGGTGCTACTAAAACCAAGGAGCGAAAGAACGTTTTTTAAACGGGACGCGTGACTATAAAATGCAGAACTATATTACTTCGGTGAAAAATTTAATTTAATTTGACGACCTTGAAGAAATGTGCAATTATCAGAGAGGGATACACATTTTCCATGCATATATAAACTATATATAAGGAGAGTTTTTCCGATACAATTATGGGCAAGGGAGAGAATATTCAGTACAATTATGGGCAAGGGAAAGAATATTCGTTACAATTATGGGCGAGGTAGATTATTCAGTACAATTATGGACGAGGGAGACAATATTCAGTACAATTATGGGCGAGGGAGAAAATATTCAGTACACAATTATTGGCGAGGGAGAGAATATTCAGTACAATTATGGGCGAGGGAGAGAATATTCAGTACAATTATGGGCAAGGAAGAGAATATTCTAATCAGTACAACTATGGGCGAGGGAGAGAATATTAAAACATCCTGCAATAAAGCTAGGAATAATGTCATATCTTACCATTCCTTTATCCATGACCATAATTTTATCACACTTTAGCACAGTGTTCAGTCGGTGGGCGATTATTAGCATAGTACACCCATGAAATGCATCGCGTATAGTTTGTTGTATTAGACTGTCAGTCTGAGTATCGATAGCAGCGGTGGCTTCATCTAATATTAGGATCTATAATGCGAATTCATCAAACAGTAGACAGTTACATTAAATATGCTTTATTGACGAAATGCGTTAATTTGTAACTATTCTGCCCTTCCAGAAACATCGTAGTTTTAGTCGAGAGCACTCGTATCTAGACAATGTGTTATCGGTACATATATCAAGTTGCCCAAAAAGAAATGTTCAAAATATCTCCATAACATTTTTTACAAACTATCATTATGCGTTTAATGCCACTCCTTCGACTAGGAATCTATGCTACTTCATAACAATTTAAATTGTGGTGAAAATAGATAAAAATACACAATGCAGTATATATGTTGTGCGAAACAACTCCCCGATAGTCAGTGGCGTTAGCCACATATACACTGGCTGGTTTTATTTAATTTAATTTAAAGTACTAGACAAGGTCGGCATTGTAATGTGTTTTTCTGAGAACCAACTGTGTTAAAAAGAGACTGGAATAATTACGTTGTAACACTAACGCCACATTTTCACCATCGACATTTGATTATAATGCATTGTGGGTAGAGGCGGAAATAAGTCAAGCCCAGCGTTGTGAGTTGGATAGTCTATATCAACCGACTATGCTTTATTCAAATGTACAGTTTATTTTAATTTAAATATACAATTAGTAAGAAAGTGTGTAAAGTAGATTTCCATGATTTCCTCCACATTAATTATTATCTTTATTATAATTATTCATGTTCCCGGCCCATTCACTTCAGCTACCTATCACCCGTTATATCGTGCAATAAATTAACTTCCCAAAGTACAAAAATGAGAAAATTCTCAACGTATTGGTGAAACTATCGAACAGTTTTAAACGGCTTTCATACCTTGCAATTTCTCAACAATGCCCTCGCCATGCATAATAACTGTCTTTCCCCGACTGAGAAATTCCCTCCACATTCAACGACTTGACCATCGAGCTTTCCGTCAATGTCCCGAACCTGTGACACAAAAACAATTACAGGATAGCGGAGACAATCACTGAGATATACAAGTTGGACTAGATGAGCTACATCGTATTTCTTGTCACTCCAACCTTTCGGAAGCTAATTACAACATATCAAGTATATGATTCTTTACATACAAACTTTAGGAAGAAGTATTTGAAGAAAAAATATGGTCGGAGACATAATATTTACATGGTGGGCACGAGACATAACAGTGCCCTCAATATTATTTCGCGATATAATTTTATGGATGTCAAAATACTACGTTCACATCGACACTATTGTAACGTTCCTTTATCACGCCATCCACATCACACGTAATCACACTTACAGTATCTTTCATGTAACACTTTTCAAGAGCTGTCCACACGTCATCATCGGAATATTGGTTGAAGGGGTCTAAATTATATCTGAAAATATAACGTATAGCTTTGGATAAACATTATTAATTAGATATATTAGCTTGTCGGGTGGCGAAAGTAATATGCAAATTCGATTTTTCATTAATTAAGATTCAGTACTATATGTGAATAATTCGAATTATGTGTTTTACCGGACATCACATGTTTGGGTGGACTAGTGTCTATCTGTACTCTTATCAAGTCCACGCGCTGAGATGCCGAATTTTGCAAAACCACGCTCACAGTGTAACTCGATGTTCAATTAACAGTTCATTGAACGTTCACATTTAGAAACTTTAATCAACAGTTAACCGAAATTCGAGTCATGCCGGGCAACACTAAATTTCTGTTTTGTATATTTCCAGTATTTCGAGGTTCGGTTAACTGATAATTCAAATTCAAGTTACTAATTTGAAAGTTAAACAAACTTTTGAAAGTTAGTCAATAAATCTGTGATCAGACCGTTCTATTCACCTGATCGTTCCAACAAAAAGTGCGGGATCTTGTGGGATTATCGATATGCTAGATCGTAAATCGTGTAAGCCCAAAGTCTTTATATTCACGTCATCTATATAAATATCTCCAGATGTTGTATCCACGAGACGGAATAAGCATGTGCCAAGAGAGGATTTTCCTGGAAGGTAAACAGACGTATGTTCATAATGATTGAATTACACTACCGTAGAAGCCGATTGAAGTAGGTCGTGCTGCGCAATTGATAAATCCAATACATTTAACAGGGTACATAAGTCTTGTTGAATCTCAGACAATATAATTGAGTCAAATAGTTTTATTATCAGATAACACAAACTAGTAGAACTATGGGCACCATTATAAGTTTAGCTATAGACATCCATCTCTGAGAACGCAAAAACATGTGTAGATACATCCACGACTTCCATCATAAAAAAATTTGTACAATGGGCGAGGAAACAGGTAAATCTCGTACCAGCCCCTGTTCTTCCAACGACTCCTATTTTTTCCATTGTGTCAACTTTGAATGATATGCCATTTAGCGCAAGAGGTAAGTTATCACGGTAACGCATTTTCACTTCCTTCATCTCTAACACGCCTTGTTGTGGCCAGTCATCTGGAGGTCTGGGGTCAGTTATTGATGGCGCTTCTGCCAATAGATTCTATGATAAAGAGATTGAATATAAACTTACAGTGTAACAATATAGAGTGTTCACACAAATAATTTGGTATAATAAAATGTTTCACTCGAGATTAATGATCGTAGAAAAGTGTTGAATGAAGCATAACAAAATAACTAAATTATTCACTTAATCTGTAGGTGGCTATGTTGTAAATTAACGCAACGTTACCTTTATATAATACAGAATTCTTTCTACTGATGTGAACCTGGCCTCACATTCTGCCATTTCTCGTACCATTAACTGGAACGTTCCTGTAAACTATAAACATATAATGTATCAAACTAATCCACGCCAATAACGACTGATACAATTTATAGAAAGTAATAATTAGTCTGAAATTAGTAAATACACGCCCAAAAGTCTGGGTGAATCAGTCTACAAAAAAAGAACCAATGACGATATTAAAGCAACGTAACTGTAAATGTGTGGGCTTAAGCAGCAGTAGTTGCCATAGTTATTGTAAACTTATTGTAACACTTGAAATATTATTATGAAATCTTGTTATTATGATCACATTAAATATATCCCACTCACCTGTACAGAATATATAAGTGCTATACCACTGTATGAAGAGGGAATGTTACCATGAGAAAGAACTGTCATTAGAGCTGTTAGAAACGTACTTAAAATGGCAATGACATCCAGTCGAACAGCAACCCATCGACTTGAGAGGCAGAATAGAAGAAGGGAAACAGTGTTCGCATCGACCAACTCAGCATATCTATACAGGGATGAAAGTAGTGTCATACGTCATATATAAACAAATATAAAGGTACATTTATATAAATCAAAATGAATGTTAGAATTCAAATTTACCAATCTGATAATGGTATTGTGATATTAACGTTATTTCCAGTTAATACTAATGAGATTGAATTGAATATGTGGGCGATCGCTCTTGCCATGTCACGTGTAGACAATGTTCAGCTCTCGTGTTGAAACCATTGTTTTCTAATGTATGTCAAAATGGGAAGGGAATTTTATTGTTTCAACTGCATGCACGTGTAATCTGAATTAATCTAATTAAAAATAGCAGCGATTACAACCTATATAGTAAGTAAACATATCAAATTTCTTTGTTGTTTCCTATATACGGTATATTGTACTATACAGACCGACATTTTCCTGTCAATGCACTCACCCTGAACTTAATACACATATATTTCACTTACTTCCTAATAGACTGCGTTGTCCTTCCATACGCATGTATTGTTGACAACCCGTGAATCGTGGTGGTAATGTGTGAAATCCATGGTGATCGAGTGATATTATCAAGCCGTTTCAGCTCACGCAGAGCGTGGTGAAAATATAAGTAACATACGATAAAAATAACCGCAAATGCCAACAAAGCCAGTAAATACCATGGAAACACAATGATTATGGAGAAGAGGGAAAACAGAATTATAAATGCATAGTTCAGCATGCTTTCCATACACATTGGCAGCCTCACGTCAACTGTGGAAGAAATACAGACATTATGTTATTACACGATATCAAAAAGATCATACTGTTTAATTGCCAACTACGCAGATATACTACCGGTACCTCCACCTGTGTAGTACAATCGTCAATACGAGTGGTAATGTTCTGAATGCTCACCTTCATCTATGTCTTTAGAGAAACGGTTTAAGATTCTTCCTGATGGCGTAGCGTCGAAAAATTCCATAGGAGCACGAAATACCACTTTGAACACCTTGTTATGCAGACGAGTTGAAGCTCTCAAGGTTGTCTGCAACAACATTAAATCGGAAGGGCCGTCACCTGCGCACGCGCGGGAATTGAGTCCCAAGCGACGATAACAACACACGTTAAAAACGCAAAGGCTCATGGGTAACGGCACAATGACACGCTATAGCCACCTGGCGCAAGCGCAGGTGACGACTCTCCCGCTTTAATTAATGTGATTCATATATATACATATATATGTTTACAGACTCCAATGATATATTTTATGATCATACAAACCTTCACATAAATAAGCACCCTGACTATAGTAGAGACAATTAGAACTCCAAGTATGATAAGGTATATGGAAACAAACACATTTGTTTCCGAGGTGTCTGTAATGATGTCAGTTGAATTTCCAGTCATATTACTGCTAGTCTGCAAAGTAAAATACATTAGTGTTTCAAAATCATGGTTTGCTAAAATGTATGAGATTGACAAATTACGAGAGGGATCACTTGTAATATGAATGTGTTTTGTTATGACTTACATAATTGAAAACTTCACTAACTGTACTCGTGTTCGCCATCCAATATCCTAACCACCAGTTGCTAGCAGTCATGCAGGCAAACACTGCTGCAAATGTAAACAGTGTAAATGACGCCAAGAGATATCCACCAGCATTCTGTATATACTCGTGATATGTCTTCCATTTTACATTACCTTCAGACTTGTCTTCTATGGTCATCAATGGATCTGTGATATGTTTATACAACAAAAAGTGTTTGTTTTCTCAATATAATTTCGATAAATTGTTGATGTACATATGAATTAATGCACGAAATATATAAAAGTAAAACATTCTCCAAATACAGGTGATGACGTAGTTACTGAACAATTATAACTTACCATAGTTACTATCTGTATCAGCAATAGAGGCAACCGAGTTTGATTTACCAATGATGGATTTTGCGTCTTGTCTTAAACTGCCGGAGGTATCCAAGTCCGGATGTTCCTCTGAAAACACTGAATCATTTTGGGCGCTGTGACCGTTTGTTAAATTGTTTGGTTCGGATGTCTCGCTTAGATAGCAGTTATATAGCTGTGCATAATCCAAGCCACTTGCCATCATCTGCTCATGTGTCCCGCATTCAACAATTTTACCATCCTTTAACACCAATATATGATCACAAACGCTCAAATACTAAAACGAATGAGACAATTGAATTAGACAGCATATTATATCAACATCAATAGCAGCTTAAGGTAGAAGCCTAGTCATAATTTTGACAAAATTGGTCATAAATCGCATGACAATGCTCATTAGTTTAGTATGTACAATCATGAAGCTAATGTCTCATGGTACAATGAAATAGAATTATTTTGTTTGTTACAGTTATGCTTTTTGAGGAATGTGTCCTAATATTTCTTGAAAATTGCTATTTTTAGAAAAATTCCATAGAATACAATGTTAAAGAAAAATTGCATTTTTTGTCACTTTTTAAAACCCAGATTTTTTAAATAATTCACAACAGCAAAAAGTACTCATCATTAACAATATATGATTTTTCAGCCTATGGCTCCAGGCTAGATTTGGAGATATTACATAATATCTCTGCCATAGGAACCTGTGGCGAAAGAGTTATAATAGTGTCAAAATGGCGACTTTCCACTAAAATACAACCAGCAATTTCTCGAAAAAAAGGCTGGTGACCCCCAACTTTTTCAGGTCAATATCCTTATATTGCCTTGGAGTACAATTTATTGCAAAAAGAATAAATTCTGGGTTTTTTAATTTATGAGTAGGCTTCTACATTAATTGCATGGGATCTGATACAGGAGTTTATGTTTAATTATTTTTACATTTTATGAAGTATGCTACAATTTTATTTTATAGTTTTATACACAATGCAATTGTGCTCAAAATGTGACATATGGTGATGTCGACAGAGTTATGTAAGGCCAGACTTTTTTTATTCCTTGTTTGTCGAGTTTTTATAGGCCGAATTTTTTGAGGAGGGCGGAAAAAAAATAAAATTTACTTTTTTTCCATTAGATTTGTGTGATTCTCAAAGAATTGTAAGAGAGATCATTGATCGGAGAGAAGAAATGAAATAAAATTTGTTTTGTTTATTTCTCATTTGCGCGAGACTTCGGTACTTTGATCATGATACTCCCATGAAAATGCAACTTGGATTTGTTATGCGGCGGACGGAAAAAAATGAAGATAAAAATATTTTTTTTAGTAATTTTTTGCACTTACAATACGGCGGGCGCGAGAAATTACGCTGAAATAAAATTTTATTTTTATGTCATTTTCGGCTCCTGTTCATTCGGCGGGTTCGCGAAACAAAGGATAATAAAAGTCTGGCCTAATGTCTGAACGTTTGGTATACCTGTAACTGGTGAGTTATGAACATTACTGTTTTACCACAAAGCCCTTCTTTGATAAAATACTTAAAGATGTGCTTCCCAACATGTGCGTCCACTGCACTCAGTGGGTCATCAAGTAGATAAATATCACGCCTGGCATACATTGCTCTAGCTAAGCTGATTCTCTGCTTCTGTCCACCACTTAATGTAACACCACGTTCTCCGATCTTAAAGAACATGTAAATGTTACAGATACAGAAGGTGTATTACGTAGCTACATAGCATTACACATCCTTTGCAACATTAATTTGCCTTAGTGAAGAACATATGATCAATTACAAAAACAACACCGCCCGGTCCGGTAGTGTTAACCTCTATTGAAGAAACATCTAAATGTTCACGTGTTAGTATTTTTGAAATAGAAACTTGAAAATGAACAAAATTTTCAAGTCCCTAATTATCTGGCATTGAAAATACTTTTTTTTCATTTTTGCTTGATTTCTGTTTCCACATAATAACCAAAATCTGAAAAAGAGTATTTAATAAAACACACGACACATTACGTATGAACAGAGCTTTCAGTTGGTAGAGCGAGGGCATCAACTATGCCTTGGTCATTATATGCGCACAGTATTCGGGTGACATGCCGCCTTCCTTTCCTTACTGAGGGCCATACTAGTGAATGACGATAAACAGTGCTTGTAAGAGCACAGCTTAACCAATCTATACCTGAATACATAACGCGTTTCCATGGACAGATGCCTTATATACAACCTACCTCAGTGTCGCTTCCACGTGGCAACAATTCTAAATCATCTTGAAGACATGCAGCAAATATTGATTTTTCATACCAATGCCGGTCATATGGAAGTCCAAACAAAATATTTTCCTTGATTGTGGCATTACAAATCCACGCTTGCTGTGACACATATGCAATGGAACCATCGATGGCAACTTTGCCTGATAATAATTGCATATGAGATAATATAGCGGATATGAGAGACGACTTCCCACTGCCAACACTGCCACACACACCAACTAAATTACCCTGCAAAACAATATTAATACACAACAACATTATTTATATCAGAGGTACATTACTTGGGGTTGCAACTCGCATAGTACTGTATAGTGACATCATGTCATGATCCCATTCAGTCTCTTCTCG